GTATGTACAGGGTGGGCCCAATTGGACACTGTTTTATGGAAACACCCTTTATTTTTAAAGATAGAAAAAAATGGACCCCAACCTGAGGCTCAAATTTCATGAAATCTTGATTGGTGCAAACCGCATTTTGATATCTTCAACCGTTCAGCCGCTAGAGGGCGATTCTCGATTTTGAGCAATACTGTAAAGCCTTCATAACTTTTTTGTTTATGAAAATAATTCATTTCCATACAGACCTTTTGGAAGTACTTTTTCAAGCAGAATTCAGTGACGTTCTCAGTTTTTTTCTGTCTGGCTTCGATTTCGAGATATTGACACACTATATATTAATAGTTCATTAGAAAGCTATGCTTTCGCTGATTTCAATGATATAAAGTTCGATAGGTTTATCTATAGCAGTTTTCGAGAAAAAAAAAATTATTTCGGATTTTGTCATAACAAACAATGTGTTGGAAAAGGACTTTATCTCTGTTGTAAGGAAACTGAGGAAGGTCTCTTTCTAACACATTGTTTCTTATGACAAAAACCAAAATATTTTTTTTTTTCCGAAAACCGTTAGAGTTAAACCTATTGAACCCTATATCATTGAAATCATTAAAAGCAGAGTTTTTTAATGAGCTATTAATATACAGGGTGTCCCAGGGAAAACAGTCCACCCCGATTTATTGGGTTTGGGGTGAGAATCTGGGAAAACGCTCGGACACGTCGATGTTTGATTTGATGGGGAACTATTTTTCAGTTTTTTTCATCTCCGTAGCTTCAACCCCCTAGCTAGGGGGACAACAACCCCCCAAATTTGAATAGGGAATAGGGGTCGTGTCATACCTCTTTTTAAAGGTCTCATCAAGTTCTTTATGGCCCTAGAATTTCATCTTATTATTTTCATCCGTTACGAAATGACAGCTTGTCAAAATCTTGGAAATGGACTATGTATTAGTAGGAGTAAAAGCGGTACTTACCTCCCTTAATAAAAATACGAGTGAAAATACCTACAATTTACAATTCTCGTGGACACCTCATTAATAATAATAAGAAAAAACTTCATTTCAAGTATTTTTATTAGGGGACGTAAGTATCGCTTTTGCTCCCACTAAAACTAATAGTCTATTTCCAATATTTTGACAAGCTTTTATTTCGTTACGGATGGAAATAATGAGACGAAATTCTAGGGGCATAAAGAACTCGATGAGACCTTTAAAAAGAGATATGACATGACCCCTATCTCCTATTCAAATTTGGGGGGTTGTTCTCCCCCTAGCTAGGGGTTGAAGCTACGGGGATAGAAAAAACTGAAAATTAGTTCCCCCTCAAATCAAAAATCGACGTGTCCGAGCGTTTTCCCAGATTCTCATCCCAAACCCAATAAATCGGGGTGGACTGTTTTCCCTGGGACACCCTGTATAGGGTGTCCTATTGAAAAAAATCGGATTTTGGTCAATATCTCGAAATCGAAGCCAAAAAGAAAAAAACTGAGAACGTCACTGAATTCTGCTTGAAAAAGTGCTTCCAAAAGGTCTGTACGGAAATGAATTATTTTCAGAAACAAAAAAGTTATGAAGGACAGAATTGCTCAAAATGTATATGAACAATTAATTCTGTAGAAAATCGAGGGGTCAACCACTCTGTAAAAATGTGTACCTACACGTATTACGAAAATGTCTGTATTTCGCAAAATTCAAAGTATTTCGGTAGGTAGTGGTAATTCGAACCTAGTTTTTTGTGGTATTGCCTAATACTTCGAAGTATTTCGAGGTAATTCGAAGTATTTCTTGGTAAGCCGACGTATTTCGAGCTATTCAAAGGTATTTTTTTCATGTAGCGAGAACGAGAACTTTTAATTCTCATCACCTGAAATTGAAATATTATAGAATCAAAATTATAGTCAATCTTCGAACAGGCTAAATACAGGGTAGACTGGCCTATTCCCTTTATTGAGGCGTCGGTATGCAGGGTGCATCCTATGTCGGGGCTGTAATGTTGTAATAGAGGTGCTGACGTTAGTTTTTCTTCTAAGATACCTCTTCTTGATCTGGCCCCCATTTGAAATTATTTTTTCTCTTAACTTCATGCAACGGTCTGGCGTTCGAGGAGAAATCTCTTATAAATTTTCGATAGAAATTACCTAGTCCTAAAAAGTTTTGTACTACTTCCTTTAACTTCCTTGGTTTTGGGAACTCTACCTTTTAGCTTTTCTTCATTTGGTTTTATCCCGCTTCTATTTACTGTGAATCCCAACATTTTTATTTCTTCTTGGAGATATGTACACTTACTGGGTTTCAGGGTAAGGTTTGCTTCTCTTAGTCTCTGAAATACTTTTCTTAATTTTTGTATGTGTTCCTCTTCCATTTTTGAGAAAATTATAATGTCATCCAGTCATCCATATAAACATAAACAAATACTTCATTCCATTTTAAATCCCAAAAGACCATATCCGTGAGTTCTTGAAAAACAGACGGGGCATTGCATAATCCGAATGGGACGACGTTGAACCTGTGCGAGCCTTGTGCCACGAATGCCGTGTATTGTTTTGAATTTTCCTCTACAGGCACTTGCCAGTATCCTGAGAACGGTGCAAAAAAATCTCGCTTTGCCCAGGTAACTTAATAATATGTCATCGATTTGAGGTAATAGATAATTTGTTTTCTTTGTCACATTATTAAGTTTTTTATAATCCATGCACAATCTTGTAGAATCGTCTTTCTTGGTTACTAGCACCACTGGGCTTGTCCATGGGGAGTGACATGGCCTGATGATATCATGTTCTAACATTTTCTTTATTTGCTCGTTTATTTTTCCCTTTCTGGCTGTGATAGTTTGTAAGGGCGCCTTTTTATTGGTCTGGTGTCTGTCTCTATTTCAATTCTGTGTTTTGTTAAGTTTTTCTTGCCCACGTACTTTGGAATTTTGGCGAAGACACCATTGAACTCATTTAAAGGGTCTTGTAATGTTTTTTTAGTGCTTTGGTCCTTTATGTTTATTAAGTTATGGTATTCCATTGTAACTCTATCTTTATTAACCTCTAACATATTGCACAGTATCTCTGTATTCTTTTGATATTCTTCTAAAAAGGCTATTGTTGTTCCTCTGTGTAAATTGGTTAAACGATTTGACTTGATTTTTATAAATAATGATTCCTCATTTGTGTATATGTGTGATTCTATAGTTATTGCTTTTTTGGTTTAGTATGTCGAACCATGTATCACACTTAGGTTGTTTGTGGTCAGCGGTATCACCACTTTATCTACACTTGGCTGCATTGGCTAAGGGTTTATCCTGAAAAGAGGTTATACATATATATCTATTGTTACACCTTAACTTATGTAGGAGATGATTAAATGCATTCCCTTGGAATGCCCGTTTTTAGGAAAAGCCCTACGCTGTCAATAGTACCCAAACAGCCCTATGAAAATGTATGTGTTGAATGGGGCTTATACAGCATGACAGTCACCTTAGGATCTCACTCGAACTGTAGCAATTCACACCCAACTTGGAGAGAAAGTGTTTTGGCCTGTACCCTTGAGGAGCTTAAGGCTATGGAGACTAACCTCTGCCCGACTGCATTGCGGTGCGCGTAATTTATACAAGAATTATTGGTACTAGGTGTTTGTTTATAACTGGAACACTCAGTAACTTTCTTATATTATTGAAAATAAAGGGCATGTTTAAGCTGGGAAATTTCTTGGTAAATTGCAACCTTAAGCGCTACAATGATATTTTTTTGTCTTCATAGGTTTACAGGGTGCGCCAAAAAGGTATTATTTTTAAATGGAATGCCCTGTATATTTTTGTTATACAAATATTATTTGATATGTTTGTGAAGCTAACTTTCTAAGAATTTCAAAAATGCAAAAATATACAGGGCGTTCCATTTGAAAAAATGATTTTTTTGACGCACCCTGTATACTTATGGCGACAAAAAAATCTCATTGTAGCGATTAAGATCATTGCAATTTACAAAGAAATTTTCCAATTTAAACGTGCCCTCTATTCTCAATATTAAAAAAGTTATTGAGTGTTCCAGTTATAAACAAACACCCTGTACCGTCAGCAGAGTCAGTTAATTTTCTGTCGTACGGGCGCCAAATTCATTTTATTTTTATAGTCTGTGGGCCTGTAGACATTTATGAGTTGACAATATGAATGAAAAAAAACTTTAAAAATATTGTATTTTGCTAACTTTGCATCTACACTGAAATATGAAATCATTTTCTGGGATAGAATCTATTCAGGAATGTTTTGGCCTTCTGCGACTTGTATTTCAATATAGGGTGTCCCACAACGTTTTTCCCAGGTATAATAACTTCGGAACACATCATCCAATAGAATTGAAATTTTGAGGATCTGGATAACTTTTTGTGACACTTCTAACAATAGGTCTGTTTCTGCAGAAATCACAAACCAGTTAGCATGAATTTCATTTATTGACTGTTTTCAACCAATGAAATTCACTCTGACTGGTTTGTGATTTCTGCAGAAACAGACCTACTGTCATCAAATTTCACCACTTTCGCTTTAATTTAAGTCAAGAAACATCAATTTTAGAATCTTATATGTAACTCATGGTATATCATGGCATTTTTTGTTAGAAAAATAAATTACAAAATCGGCTATGCCATATTTGTTAAGGCTTCGTTATGATCGAAAATGATGAAAAATTTTAAAGTAGAACATACAATGATGCATTCTGAAGTTATCATTTGGGCAAAACCTCGTGGGACACCCTGTATACTATTTCAAAACTTAGTTGATTTTTGTGCAGGGGTCCTATTCTTGAAAATTTTCGCATACGAAATTCGATACGATTTCGAATGCTCCCCATTTAATTTACATTGCTGTCAGTCAAATTTCGTGTACCAAATACACTCGAATGGTTTCGAAAATCGCACCCCAGGTCTTTTCCAGTCGCCCAAATAAAAATGTATAATTATTGTCGAGCTGGAAGTGATGGGGTGCACCAAATAGCCAAATTTGGCCAGTATTGCAATAGTAAAATATTTGCCTAAATTCAAATTTTCAGTATCTATTAACAGAATTTTATCAACAAGTTTACTATACCATAACATATTTAACGGTACAAATGGTCAGCATGAATATTGCTGGCAATTTCTGATTCCCATTTGTCACCGTTATTTAACAATTTCTCTTTATTATACAATAATTCTTCATGAGTTTCCGTAGAAAATTCAAAATTGGGGCCTTCCACTATAGCATCTACTGGACAAGCTTCTTGACAAAAACCACAGTAGATGCATTTGGTCATGTCTATATCATAACGAGTGGTTCTCCTGGAACCGTCTGCTCTTTCTTCTGCTTCAATGGTAATCGCTTGGGCAGGGCAAATTGCTTCACACAATTTGCAAGCAATACACCTTTCTTCACCTGAAGGATATCTTCTGAGGGCATGTTCTCCTCTAAATCTAGGACTGAGAGGTCCTTTTTCAAATGGGTAGTTAATTGTTGCTGGTTCCTTGAAAATGTGACCCAACGTTACACCAAATCCTCGTACTAGTTCGGTTAAAAATATTGTTTGCGCTGCTCTGTCTGAAAAAAATACAAATTTTGAATTTTTATCATGATTATTATAAGAATAATTATAAAAAATTGGTAATCCTAGGCTTGCTCAAGATGGGGGCTTCAAGTACCTGTAATATCTTTGAACTCCATTGAAGGTTCTTGAGCGTTTACATAGATGTAACCATCTTTGGGTTCACTACCCAAAGCTCTGCGATTCATAACATTGACGCTGGGTCTTATAAATCTTGTACCTAAAAAAAGTTTAAACAATATAAAACGTTATACATTTATTAGCAGTAATGTTCTGGTTGTACTACCAAATCAAGAGTCATTGAGTATCATATAAATTCAAGTTCTGAGACAAGCATCAATAGGTAAGAAGTAATATGTTTAAAGTGTATCGAAAAAAAAATAAGAGTAATTTTTTTGCTGTCTTGTGCAATTTCACTTAATTTGTATTGATTTTCAAAGTAATATTCTACGTTATAAAATTAGTAGTACCTGTTTTGGATAAAGAATAAAGTTTAGTCAAGGAACTCGACATTTTTGTCGATGAATATCAATTTTCTCCTTTGGTAAACCGAAAAATAAAAAAGTTATATCATCAGCCCAACAACTTGCTGTCGGTGATCAATTTTCGTTTGACTGTTTGACGGTTGACGGTTTTATTTGACATTTGTCGTGCCATTCCATTTGTTGTTGTTGGTATTGTCAGTGGTAGGGCATAACAAGGATAATACGCACTACTACTTCGATTGCCTAAGCTCATAAGGCCTGTGTAATTCAAATCTCAAGCCCCCCATGATGCCAAAAAACCAGTGATGACGTGGCAGCGTGTCGTTTGGCGCCTTGAATATATGCCTTGACCAAAGGGAGTTTGCACCACAGGGCTATTTGAATTTACTACATTAGTAATATTCTTTCGTTCTGAACGATATGAACAAGTGAAACTTAATTAGATGAATAGAATAGAGCAGGTAAAGCGCTGTCCTACGGACATAAGGAGTTCCTGCTATGAAACTAACCGTGCGTTCGGTATTTTGATCTGAGCTCTCCGAGCTTGAATTTACCGTTTGTTTATTCAAAAAGTGTACACGGTGCAGCTTATTCGCGTTCGTTTATTCAAATTTCGGGCACTCTGACACAGCGATCAACTGCTCTGTTCGCTCGCTGCTCACGTGATTACCTTGTGATTACGGCTCCGCTCAGCACGCTATGCTCTTTGAGCAGAATACCGAACGCAAGGTGGTGCCAAAATGCCGGAAAAAACGGCTTTTCCAACTCCATAGCCGGGGTAGGTGTGTATCATCCTTGGGGTGTTTGCACCACAGGGTATGATTCCGCGGGCTTTCGCTTATGCATACCTGGTTCTACGGGATTTATTAACATTCTAAATCAACTCTTTTTTTAGATCTCGTTCGCATCTTCCTCTTCGCTTCCTCTTGTTAATGCAAATTGAATGCATTTTTCATCATAAATAGGGGTGGGGGTAGAGCCAGTGCCTTGTTAAAATGAATTTTCGTTGTTTGTGTTTTGACTTGATAAGTGACATTTTAAGCCAAGTATACTCAAAACTGCGAAATTCGCATTTTTTTGACATTGGTTCGACAATGACGTTTGATTCACGCATAAAACGTCAAATTGTCGAAGCGATGTCAAAAAAATGCGAATTTCGCAGTTATGAGTACTAGGCTTTACAAATAATGGAGTGACATAAATAGGTTTTCATATCTGTGGTTTTCATTCTGCCGTCTCATTTCGCAATAGGGAACTTTACAATTTTTTTTTTATTTTTTTAAATCATTTATTTATGCCCTGAAAGAGTATTCCCCAAATATTATTCCATAAAACTCAATAATAGCTTGGTGATAAATGTTTAAAGTTTCACGCGAATTAAAAGCATTTCAAACGACCTTAAATGCGCGCGAATCTGGATGACGTCACGTAGTATGATTTTACGTTGAGCCGGCGCCACACGATGTGTCCAACCATTGGCCCCAACGTTAGATCCAACGTTGGGTACAGTGTTTTTTGCTCTAGCATTCGGCAAATGTATCCGATGAGCGCAAGGCTACACGATGCCACAAATCGCTATGTGTCCAACGTTGGAAGGCATTCGACACATCGTGTGGCGCCGGCTTCACCTACAGTGACTCTATAACCCACAGTGGCGACAATTGCTGTCTTATTTTTGATTGGTTCAAAAATCCCATATATTTATATTGAAAACACCGCCATCTTGTTACCAACCCCTTGTTACTTTTAAATGTGAATATATGGGATTTATGGCCGTTTGCACCGACCATTTTGAGGAAGCCTTAGCGATAAGTATTACTTAAAGTGACATTTATACATGTAGAAATGTCATTTTAAGAAATAATTATCGCTAATGCTTCCTTAAAATGGCCGGTGCAAACGGCCATTAGGTGAACATCCATCAAAATCATGGAAAACAACGTATTTGATGGACCTAATAATGGTCATCAAATACGTCGATTCCAATTTTTTATGATAGATGTCCATTTAAATCCTATATATTAATATTTAAAAGTAACAAGAGGTTGGGAACAAGATGGCGGCGGGACCTCTATTGTCGCCACTGTATGTAAAGGTTTATTTAGCCACTGTAGCTTCACCTTGTCGTCAAACGTCATACTTCATTGTATTTTAATTTGGTTGATTTCCACATTTTCCACCGTTATTTGTTTTGTTGTTGTTTTGGCCAGGCCAGTTTTGGGTTGCGGCGAGTTGTAAATTTTTAAGTTATAATGGAAAAAAAGATTCGCACATACTCACTTTTGCTACTATAAACACACATCACAAATTGGCGGATTGGCCTTTGGAATTTCCTTCTTCGGTCATAATTAATAGGTATATCGTTTTATTTATATAATGCTAAGCTAATCATTGAATTTAGGCTAAGTAAACCAATTCTAATAATGATAAAATTTTAAAAAAATCAGAGAAAAACGTAAATAAACACAGCTAACGGGTATTTATTATGTAGAGTACGAGTAAACGCTCGGAGTTGCTGTTTTGTTCTTTTATCCCTGTTCTTCTCATCATGAGAAAAAAAGACGGAAAATGCTCCGAGCGCTCAGTGTTTCGAGACGAACTCACGGTATGATGGACGGTTGCTGACAGACACTGACAGATCATACTAGATGACGTCACGACCAGTATCAGAGCGTTTTTTTCCGCTGGAAATAATTTGAATTTTTCCGCATTTTTTTGATATTTCCTTGGCCCATTTAACTCAAAAGTTGTATTTCTTTCAAGAGTTTGAAACACTCGAGCTACTCGCTCCGGTGTTTAGTAGCCCCCGATTTGCAGGGAACAGATGTGTGGTACGACAAACACTTTTCGAAAGGAATAAGCGCGTGAAGCCCCGGAGTTGTTCCGGAGCTCCTCCTAGGTGTGAAAGGAATACAACTAAATATAACAAAATAAATAGTCAGATCCGGGAGTGATATTTAAAAAAAAAATAAAAATTAGGCCGACCGGAATAATGGGTAATGAATAAATAAACCAGGGATGTGCCGTAGACTATGGGAATCAACTTTACGCGGTTTGTCTACTCGTTGTCTACGTATTGTTTACATCCACTTTTTTCCATGTAGAAACTAGAGACATAAAGCTACTTGAAATAATTCGCCGGTATCGGCATCGGTATCCGTAAGGCAACTAGATACGTTGACAAGCGAAAATGCTGTTAAAGCGCTCCCTGTTCCCGTAAACGTAAACGCATCTCGGAAATTTTTGTCTCAAAACTCCGGCGTTTTTATATCTAACCTTAAAATTGTTATTTTTTTTTTGATAGAGTAGCACTAAACACACAAGAACAATGAACTATAACCAAAAACTGGAATGCTAACACATAAGGAAGAACGTGAAGCCTAGTGCAGCTGTTGCGGAGGGGATACCTGTTTTTGTCGCACTCATTATGTTAAATGGCGAAAATTGCTTCCAACACGTATTCCAATTGATGAAACCTGTGAAGGGAAATATGACAAAACTTTCGAAAACGTCATATGTTAGCGAGCAACAGAAAAAAACAACATTCCCCGTTGTGGCATCTGTCTTTCATGGCTTCATTTTTTTGGCAGATATGGCACTGTGTGCGCATTCCAGTTTTTAACTCTAGTTCATTGCACAAGAAACTCAAGAAAGTGTAAACCAAACAAATTAAATCAACCCGGAAGAAAAGTGAGGTTATATCCATTTAAAATTTGACACATGCGTCAGGAATGTCAAGATACGTTACCGATACGGATACCGCGAGAGGGCCGTAACGTTACGTTTTACGTACGGTATCTCAGCCTCCGTATCGCTTCTGCACATGCGCAGTACGATACCGATACGGATACCGAGCAAAAAATACGGAAGCTTTATGTCCCTAAATATGTAAAATCTGTTTTTTTTTTTTAAAGATAAAAGTCAAAATGACATTATGTTGGCAATACAATGTAAAATTGTCAATGCTTTCAATTTTTTTATGTAGAAAAGGCTTGTCTGCCAACATAGTTACTAAATTTTTGACTTGGGGAATTATCTTTAAAAAAAAAACATACTTTAGACAATTAGACAACGGAAAATTTGAAATTTGAGTAATTTTTTTGAAAGTTTGCATTGCATTAAATTTATATTGTATCAAATTAAGTAGACATTATCTGCAGTTTAATTAACTTAGCAAAAAACAAAACAAAGCAAAAACAGAAACATAACCTTAAAGGCCTGTCAACTGTCAAAAATTGTATACTTTACGCGTTGTCAACATACTTTACACGGTTTCTACATAGATTACATAGTTTACATTGTCTACACGTTGTTTACACCAGACGTAGACAATCTTTGTTTACGCGTAGATGCCCATCTCTGAAATAAACGTTGACACGACACAAACGTTGATAACTTGCTTGACAAAACTGACAAAAGCAAGAAGCACGTCAAATTCCGTTGCATCCAATGCGTGGCCGATTTTTGGGAGTGGCCACAGAGAGGTTGTTAGTCCAAGGCGTGACCAAGGATATCACACACTACTACAAAGGATTCCTTATCCGCCTCGTTTTTGGGAATCGCGGCAAAATGTCGAACCTGCCTATTCCTCACAGAAATCACAAACCAGTCAGAGCGTTTTTGATTGGTGTAAATCGCCAACAAACTCGACTTGGCAGGGTTTGCGAGTAACGTCACGTCAGTACTATCAGCAGCATATGGTGGTTACGTCACCCGCAGACCTCGATAAATGCTTGCGATTTGAGCTATAGTTTTGAGTTAATTTTTTCAACGATTTTAAATGTAGAAAAGATGATTTTAACAAGATTTTACTCGGCTAATGCATTTTTTTACGCCAAGAGTTGAAGTCTGCGGCTGAAATGGCAGACACTAGGTTTGTTTTTTGTTTTGTTCGAAGCAGGACTACCTGCTTTGGGGCGTTCGTTTGTAATGGCAATGAACTGACGAGCGTTAGTTGAATGGGTGACGTCATAATTCCGAAATATTTTCGCCTCTGTATGTAAAGGCAGATAGTAAAGGTTTATTTGTTACTATTCGTTTAGGTTATGGTCCGACGTCATAACTAAGTCCTCAGCTGTTATTTTCGAGACAGCTCCGAACGAACATTTTACATGGAAGTTTCCTATCTTTAGGACGGGTTAATCTGTGTTGGTGTGCCACCGTTGCCGACGTCATAACTAAGTCGTCAGCTGTTTAAACAGCCTACGTCAAGGCGAGAAATAACATGCTGCTTACGTCACAACTGGTGATTTGTTGGTCTTGGAGTAGGGGGATTTGTTCCACACAGGCCTTATGAGGATAGGCTATCCGCTTTGCACCGACCATTTTAAAGGAGGCTTAACGATATTCAACGTTTTTAAAGTGATATTCTCACATGCATTAAGCAAAAGCCCGCGGAATCATACCCTGTGGTGCAAACTGCAAACAGCCTACGTCAAGGCGAGAAACGACATGCTGGTACGTCACAACTGGTGATTGAGCGTGGTGAGGGGCTTCAGATTTTTTCTACATAGGCCTTATGAGGATAGGCTATCCTGTAGTAGTAGTTAGTAGTGTGTAGTGTGTATAATCAATGGTATTATCCTTGCCTTTGGTTAACGTTTGGTTATATTCCCTAGAGCAGGAAAACGCTGTCCTACGGACCTTTACCTGCTCTAAGTTATATTCGGATAAGAATTCGTTATTTTTCAAATATCAGCCATCAAAAAAAGAAGAGACAGGAACCATACTCCCATGAAGTAAGTAGCGAATGCGATGGCCGATGCGGTAGATAAGTTAGGTTATGTTAGGTTATGAGGCGTGTTTTGTTTTTTCGATCCCACTTGTTCCCCATAAAACGCGAACACAAACGCGATTTTTAAATAAATGAAATGTATCAAAAATAATGTGAAACATTTTAATTAAAGAAAATTTAAATTTGCAGTTTGAAGATAAATTTTAAGTAACTCTTGAAATGTATCCAACCCCCAACAGGCACCCGGCAGCGGCGGTAAGTGTTCCATTGTTTGTTTATTTAATTTTTAATTTTGTTAATGATATCCATGATGATAGAGTTTTATCGGTATTGCCACAATTTTGGGATCTGTGTCCTTGAGTAAATTTCCAGCTTAAAGTTCCATGTTTTCAACATGTGCTTCTTTAATCAACACCGAAATCAGTTATCACTGTATTTCCTGTTATGGAGTTTCTTGAAAGGCTCTGTGCAGGTACCTAATTTAAGTAAAAATAGATTTAAAATTTGAAATCGACTTCGTTGGTTTGATACCCTATCTATATAAATTACATATCTTTATACCTGCCAGACCAGTGAATTAAACTATTACTATGGGAGTGACAGATATTTTTAAGACCCTTGATATTGGTATTTTAGCTTATTTATAATACCCATACAGAGTTTATTGGAAAGGTCCAAAAATCAACCTATATCCTGTCTACCCCCGTGTCTACCTATTAAGGTAGGTACCCAGTCTTGGTATCTGGTATCCTACAAAAGTATGCTCGACATGTTGGGAATCCAAAGTCTTCACAATCGGTGCATAGTGCAGTCAGTATTGTTTGTTTACTATTTGGTTACTTAATGTTTTACATCATTGTTCAGGCAAGTTTGTGGTGGCCGGGTAAGTATATTGAATGTATATTGCTACTTTGATAAAATGCTTATTCAGTGCAACTTAGGCGGGAGTTACCCAATTTCTTAATTCTTAATATTTGTCCCTAATTCTCAATTCTTAAAAAGTTCAATTTATTTAACATTGGTTTTTTTGAAGATTAAGAATTAAGCACAAAAATTAAGAATTAAGGAATTGGGTAACCCCGGCCTAATATACTCGAATATCTTAATAGTTACATCCAAAAAAGAAAAAGCACTCAGCTAGATTCAGGTTCTACCTTACCCCTCAATCTAAGTGTGTACATATATGTGTAGTATTGTTGCATCATCCATATAAAGAAAATCATATTATTAGTGATGTGAGTCGAGAATATTCCCATGCGAATATTCGCGAACATTGGTAAATTTCGCCAATAAAAAATGGAAACGTTCTCCTGAATGAGAATATTCCTGGAAACTTTCAATCAAATACTCTCAAAAAAATATTTCCGAGAACATTCGAGAATATTTCCAAGAACTTTCCAGAAGAATTTTATAAAAATGCGAGATTAATGCGAATACAAGGTCTCAGTGACGTCATTTCACTTTATGTGGATGACGTAACCCAGTCCAACTGTCTTTACGGAAACGCTGATCCGATTTACCCGATCACTAGCTGATGTACCTATAGCCTACAGTTTGTCTTTTTTTTTTAAATAATCTTCATTGAAGAAAGATAAAAAATAAAGAGCTGAGAGATTGTGTTACTCGGATCAGCTTTTCCTTTAAAGCCTTATTCAACCAACCGTCCATAAAAGTGTTTTTACTACATAGTTTAATTTTTAGCTGATCTTACAGAAAAAAATAGGTGTTTTTCTTGGTTTATAGTCTATAGTTAGTACACTATAAAGCTTACTACGATTTGTCTGATTTAGCTATAAATTAAAAAAAAAAAAAACTATATTTCCATAAGTTCCCAAAAGTTTCCAATATTCCCGGAAAATTTCCGAGAATGTTCGCGGCTTTTGAATGTTTCGGGAATTTTACATCACTACCTATTATTAATAATATTAATAATCTTTATTTAGCACATTGCTATTCTAAGTTACATAACTTAATATAAGTAAAACATTTCCAGCATGGAGCGCTGGGAATGCTGGAGGTGGAACAGGGGAAATCGGTTTGGTTCTGTATTTAACCTCGGACTTTTTCTAGACATTTCATTTTATAGCATTCAAATTGGCCCGTCTGATGTTGACTTGCCAAACCTGTATATATTATTGGGTACTATCCTATCTCTTTAAATCTTTTTTTTGTCCTTTTATCCTCTCTTAAGTCTAGATTTAGGTAGAGTTCTATTGTTGGAATAAAATCTTCAGAGTCTATCTGTACTTACTTCACCCGAGGACTCATCTAGAAGCCAACAAAACAAGGATTTTTTAATTGTGACATGTTTTTCCTTTAGCTTTACCCTAACATAAGGAGATTTTTCAGCTTCGGTAAATTTATTGAAGAAATCTTTTCTTTCCTCTCGTGTTGTCTTGAGCTAATAGCATCATCAGTAAGGTTTTCATATTGGTTTTCAAGTTCGCCTATATGAATTTTGTTAAAATCGACATATTGATCTATGTGTTGGTCTATGATTAGTGGCAAATCTAAATAAATGCAGTCATTTTTATCAGCAGTAATAGTTCCTAATATGACAGAATCATTGAGAACGTCATTAAGAGCTGCATTTACACACGATTCTGCGTTTATGGACAAAATATCTTTGCTATACAATAGAAATTTGCTTGGAACTTAAATGAAGAGTTTTTTTTTTCCTCTTTAGGAAAACAGCACCCTTTGTGTATGTTAGACACAATCTCATTTATTGTTTGCATTCTGTCTAGCAGTTTCATAAAACTTTTGATGCTGAAATTGACAACTGTGGAGAATATTGAAGTCATGGAAAAAAATTTCACAAGGCTGACTGCCTATGTTTGGCATATGGAGGTCTTAGGCAGATGATTGGGATCGCTGACAATAACTTGTTTCAGGTCTGTTATGGGTTTCACTACAGAACAAAAAATCACTCCAAAACATTCTTTGAGTGTTTTTTTTTTTTGGTCATATCCAAGGTCATATCATAAAACAAAATGTATATTTATTATTTTTTAAAAAAGGCCTAGGATGTAAATTTTAGGGACATACTTTTGGTTGAACAGGCTCGAAATGGGATAAGGTGGGAACCACAGGGGCGACACTAGATGTTTGTTTGACATGCGCGATAATCACAACTTAAAATAGTGTTGAGGACGCTCGTACATATTAGAATTTTGAAGGAATACACTTGAGAGACGAGAATATATAAGATTACATCAGAATATGCAGGAATACATACGGCATACATAAGAATCCATTGGATTACATGAGAAAATAAAAATACATGGGATTAGGTACATGAGGCTTGTGCAGTGGAATACATTGGCCGTTTACCCCTCGAGTAGACTACTACGCTACAACCACAAGGCATATGATAAAAATAATTGTGAGGCATACAAAAGAATTTAAGAATTAAGAAAAAGTCAACCACACAGAAATATATTTGAATAATGATAAAATATAGCAATTGGAACCTACTATTAGGGACTAAGATTACACAAAATACTATCAAATTAGATAATGAATCACAAAAGACCCTAAATACTCTCACAACCCCATACTTACTGTCATTAAAAACTGAAACAATAAAAATTGTTCTTGAAAATGTAATTTAAGTATCTGTATTTGGGGATCTTTACACTTCCAGGTATACACGTAACTAAATGCTATAGAATTTATTTTTAAAATGAGTTGCCACTTAAACTTCTTTTTGATTTATCGAGCAGAACATGTCCAATACAGAAAACAAGTTCTAAATTTAGCTAAAATTGCTGAAACCTCTGATCTGACAATTGAACCCCATAAAACTGTATTTTTCGAAATATTGTCATTTCGCCCGCCACTGACAATAATATGAAATTAAAACAATATTTTTGTGGCCTCCTCAGACCGGGGAGGCGGATATTCTCTGCGCGAATCAATAAAAACATTTTATATTTTTCTAAGTGCCGCATCACGTATCAGGCTCCTATCATGGAGCGATTTTATTGCAGATCTACAGACATATACAATATTAAACATTTTGTGTTTTAGAATTTTTTTTGCTAATTAGAAGGGAGCAATTAAATCAATCATATTGAAAAAACATTGGAAATTAAATTAGGAAGTTGATCGCAGATTATTAAGTCGCGTAAAGCAAAAGATTAGGGTGCCCGCCTATAACGAAATAAAAATTGTTAAGTTCCATTTTATACTCCATTAACTTGAGTGGATTTTAATAGTATTTTTAATGACACAGGACAGGGTGCTTTGTTTTAATATACTTTTAGGAATAATTTATTTTGCCCGACCTGCTGTAGTTTCTAAAATACTTTTTTGCAAACATCTTATTATAAACATAATTAGGTTTTTACGAGAGTAATTGAGTTTTTATACATTTTCACTGGTATAATATCTACTCATATAATAGCCGTTTATCATGGTGTGTAGGTATGAGAATAATTATGAGCTAATAAGCTTCGATGTGCTCTCTCTTTGGAAAAGGGGTGTATTAATAATCTCTGGGATATTTTTTAGAGTAAGTATGTTTAAGAAGAAACGGTATTTGTACAAAGGTACCCAACCATATTTTCATCTAGCTATTATTTGTGATTACGTATTAACATAGTTTCTGAGTGCGCTGTAATTATTCCAATTGTATGAATGGTACAATAAACCATTGGTTCTGGGTTTTGTTGACTTGCATAAGGGTTTTGAATAGGGTTGAGCTGGATGCAGTTCGAGAATTCCACAAGGATTATCGATACATTTCAGCTGTATTACCACCAGTCAGTTGTAATTTTTGTACTCCTGGAAAACTAAATATGGTCAATAATGTTGCTGGTTTGATAAAACTTTTCGAGGGAATAGCTAAGTATATTTCTTATAAACTATAACATTTGAGTTTGAAATCCTAATTTTTTGTAATGTTAACGCGTTCGTGATCCTAAAGACATTTTCTTTTAAAAAAAGCCTCTCTTAAATTAGTATTCAATCGAAGTCTTTACAGAGTTGAGGGTCGGAATTATCCCTCTTTCCATGAGACGGAAAGTAAAATGTCAAGATTGAAGGCTTCGTAATAAGAAAGTTTGAAAAAGAAATGATGGCAAACTTTGAATAGGCAAGTTAAGTCTTTTGTCGTTATATTTAATGTCTAGGAGAGTTTTTTGAAAAATGAAGTTGAAGTTAAGAGGATTTTGTTGCCATATTTTAAATGAAAACTTGGATACTTTTTAGAGAAAAACATTATGTATTGTTGAATCATTCTTTAATTTTGC